TGCTGGCGCGGGAGGGGCCGCCTTGCAACCGGACAGCAGCGGCGCCTCCGTCAATGGGACGACCTGCAGGCAGCCTGAGAGCTGGCGGCGACTTCCCGAGTTGAAAACAACTCCAGGAAGGACTCCGCTGCCTCTGCGGAAGCCCACCGGGCGCTCCTGAGCGGGGAAGGGCCTTGGCAGTGCCAACTTGCCCTTCCTGGAGAAGAGGCCGACGCCCTGGCTTGAAGGGTGGGCCTGGGGCGCAGGTCTAGCCCTAGCCCAGACACCGTCTGGAAAGGGTGTGGCTAACTTCTCCCATGGGCTACAGGGTTGACCACTGGAACAACGAGAAGGAGCGGCTGGTGCTCATCACGGACCAGTCCCTGCTCATCTGTAAATACGACTTCATCAACCTCCAGTGCCAGCAGGTGGTCAGAATAGCCCTGAATGCTGTGGACACCATCTCCCACGGAGAGTTCCACTTCCCCCCAAAGTCCCTGAACAAGTAAGTCAGCTCAGAGAAGCCAGTGCCACACCACTGTATCTGGAGAGAAGTTTGTAACAACTGCCCTCCCATCCCACCCCCACCCCACCCCTTCACAGTCAGACCCCAGTGCTTTTTTCTTTGCCCGTGAATCAGGTAGCATTTATGCACGCGCGGCCACAAGGGCTGGGGCTTCAAAAAACGGTGGGGAGTTCTCCAGAACAGAAGCCTGTGATGTCAGTGCCCCCAAAGGCGTGCAGGCACAAAACACAGTTGTTGTAAGGCCTCTTAACCAGCAATCTTAATCAACATTGACGAACGGAACTGCAGAACCACTGGTTTGGCTGGTTCTTCTCTGAGGGATTTTTCTTTCTGGAATCGTTTCATAAAATTTCAAGCTGCGCTGAATCAAAAGAACATGTTCTGTCCATGCTCCATACTGTCTTTGATGTGCAGACCATTGGAATGGTGAGGGGAGTTCTGCTGTCTGTGGCTGTGAGTGCCCTGACTGTTCAAGCCACCGGTCAGTCAGTTTACCGGTGTGACTCTTCTAGGTCTTTAAACATGGATGGTTATTTACAACCTGCCCTCGTGACTGACTAGCGAGGCTGTTTCAAAGCCTCTGGCCTGCTTGGCTGAGTGGCTGGTTTCTTCTGACCCCTCAGGCGAGAAGGTTTTGGGCTGCGCGTCCAGTGGGACAGGCAGAGTCGCCCTTCCTTCATCAACAGGTGGAACCCGTGGTCCACCAACATGCCCTATGCCACCTTCATCGAGCACCCGATGGCCGACGCCGATGAGAAGACTGCATCTCTGTGCCAGGTACAGGACAGACTGTGTGTCCATAGAACATACTGCAGCGGTGGCATGCCCTAGTTAGAGCTGCACTATCCAGTCCTGTGGCTACTGTGGCCTGTGACCCATGTGGCACCAGGGAAATAAATTTGGGATTTTACTGGATTACGTTTAAATGGTCCCATGTAGCCAACGGCCTCTGGTCAGCGGTACTCTACCACTTGGTGCTTTGTCACGTAGAAGGGCCAGAGAGGCACTGGGCTGCTCCAGGCCTCTGCTGGGAGCCCTGCAGTGTGGGAGCGCAGGCTGTGTGTGCTGGTGGTTAGAGGCGGCTGGCACCAGGAGTCCACCACTTGCTGGCGGCCGTGTGGCCTTGGCTCAGGGCCTGTAGATAGTGCCCTCAGACAGATGAGCAGTGGCAGCTCTGCAGGAAGGTTCTTGTCCCCTGTCCCTTGGCTCGAGGGCAATCTTCTTCGTGTATGGCCCTTGATTCCTGCCGTCTCTGGTGACTCCTCTGGCTTAATGCGCCCTTTTTCTACCTGGCAGGTGATGGGCTGAGGCACACTCTTAACCTAACTAGAACTTCTCTCCAAAGGGGCTGAGGACCAAAGGTTGGGATTCACAATAAGAGCTTTGGGGGGCAGAGGGGAGGGAGATACATCTTTAACAGACCCCCACAATGGACCTGCCAATGCCGCGCATACCAGTGAGGGTACCTGGGGGCCCCAGCAAAGACACCAGGGGAGTCTGAATATCGAAGGGTCCCCAGAGACGAACCTGTCGTTGAAATGGATGCGCTCATCCAGTGGGTTAAAGCTCGATGTTTTTCTGTCTTTGAAAAGTTGGAGAGCTTCAAGGCCCTGTTAATCCAAGCGGTCAAAAAGGCCCAGAAAGAGTGTTCTGCCCCGGGGAGAGCAAACGCGGTGCTGGTGCTGGAGCGCCCCCTGCTGATCGAGACCTATGTGGGCCTGATGTCCTTCATCAACAACGAGGCCAAGCTGGGCTACTCCATGACCAGAGGCAAGATCGGCTTCTAGAGGCGGCGCTGGGGAGCACCTCTCGAGAGGCCATCAGCCCCACCTGCCGACTCAGCCAGAGCCGGGTTACGGCAAAGGGCAGGTGCGAGCTGGGTGTGGACACTGGTTACCCGAGCGGCTGGACAAAGACAAATGGATTCTGGGTCAGGACTTCCCTTCCCCTCTGTGTATCTCTGGCTGTTTGTGGTTGTTCCACCCCAGCCACTGTTGCATGTTAATAAACGTCCGTGAGCCCAGCGGCACGTTGCATGTCAGCTGTGTGGGCGGCATGCACAGGAAAGGACACAGTGCCATCTGAGGAGGGGCTGTCGCTGCAGACAGGCTTATGCTTAGAAGCCACGTTGTACTTTGAAATGGGGTCTCTCCTTCTTTGAGCAAGACATTAAAGAAGCCAGAAGCAGCTTGGTCCTACCAGCCAGCCTGCCTGAGCCTCTCAGCTGCAGGGCAGAGTCCCTCTTGCTTTGCAAGCATTTTCCTCAAGTTTAAATGTGGGACTGCCTCATTGCTAGCCCAGAAAGGCTTACAGAACACTCATCTTAAAGAGCAGCAGTCTGTGTGGGATGGTCCCCTGGCACACTCTGCAGCTGAACTGGCCTCATCCTTCATCCCTTGCCCCTTCCTGGGAGTCTGCATATCACCTTGGGGCTTGCATGCAGACTCCCAGCTCTGGACCTGGCCCCCAGCCCCCTGCACAGCTAGCTGGAACCGCTGAAGCCCCATGTTCTCTGGCGTGCCAATCTCCAGCCTGGGCTGCTGCCTGGCTCTGCATCACATGAGTGGATGTGCCTTTGTTTTTTTGAAGTTGTTATTAAAATAGATGCAAGAACCAAGAACACCCCTTCTTTGATGAGTGACAGGCAGGCCTGGGCAGTTTTCTGTGGGTGCTGTGTGAACCTGCCTGCTTGCTAGGCACTGGGCACTCCCAGTTCAGAGGGCGGCACCTACTGACTGGACAGTGAAGCCTAGCCTGGACCCTCAGTCCCCTGGTAGCTTTCACCTTGGTGGCCTGGCAGAAACACCAGAATGGATAAGGGGTCAGGGAGGGAGCTGCTTGGGCTCTGGCTGGGTGCAAGTTCCCATGAGCTCTGGAGATGCCACCCAACTGAGGCAGCGACCGGGATGCTGGGCCCCTCTTGCCCTGGTGGACACACACGCCTGGGGAACTGACTCACCCCAGGGACCCACATTTTGAGCCATGCTTGCGAGGAGTGGCCAACAGTTCAGGTCCAGCCTGCATCTGTGCTCCCGACCCCTCCCACCACTCCCCGGCAGCCCCAGGCAGAGATTTCCGGGGACTGTTGGCCTTAGAGCCAGAAACTTAAGAGCTAAACCTAGGAAACATTCCTGAGATGAAAACAAGCATCATTTTATGAGCTACAAATATTTATTTCAAGTAATAAAAATCCATTTCATTCCATACATATTTACAAAATGCCTCCCTATAGAAAAATAATTTAACGTGGTCTATCAAGGTTGGAAGCCAGGGTCCTGTCCTGAGATGCCACCGGGCCTTCAGGTTATGCAGGCCCCTCCTGCGTCTCCAGGAAACACAAACAGAAGTGGTCCTTGCTGAGAAGGGCCAGGGGATCCCCGCTCAGATGCCAGCACAGGGCGAGCACGTGGAAATCACCTGCAGAGACACAGGATCAGACAGCCACTGAGGGCCCTGGGCAGCCCTTGCCTGGGGGTCAGTAGGTGGCCAGTGGGGACCTAATATCAGGCAAGCCCAGTGAGCCCAAAGCTGCCCAGTCTGAGCCAACTCACCTTCCACAGGCACCTGCACTGACATGCAACCTGCCGGGGACCACAGGTAGACATGGCCCCCTCCTGTACCGATGGCCAGACGGGTCTGCTGGGGGTCCCACTGGAAGGTGCGCACAGGGGCCAGCTGCTCCAGCACCACGAACAGCCGTAGCTTTTGGACGTCCCAGATCCACACAGCATTTGGGATGTTGTCTGACAAAGCAGGGATAGGGCCCAGTGGCCACTACCTTTCCAGCCTGCCCGTGGCCTCCCCCACCTCCCTAGCGTGTGCCCCACACTCAGTGAAGGGTCAAGCTTCAGGCCCTGTGGCCTAAATCCCCTGAAAGAACCGAGCTGGAACTGAGCTGCGGCCTTGCAGGAAGAACGAGCAGAGGCCCTGAAGCAGCATGGCCAAGCTGCAGCTGCCGCTCCTCGGACGGGACAGGGAAAGGGACAGCCTGCTCCTCTGAGGAATGGACTGCGAGGGGAGGGGTGTGAAGCCTGCGCTTCCGCTTCCCAGTCTGTGCCTGGGAATGAGCGCGTCTCTGAGCCCTGCATCCCACCCCCCACCTCTGCCCCCACCCCACTGGTCTGTTTAGCCTCCCCCAGGTCTTGGGAGAGTGAGTCCTGGCAGCCCCTCCCTACCCCTGCCTCATCAGAACAAATGGGACTGTAAGCACAGGCTGGGATTTACTGCACACTGTGTGTGTGTGTGTGTGTGTGTGTGTGTGTGTGTGGCGGGGGGCGGGGGGCCGCGGGGAAGCATGACCACTACTATATCGTCATGGGATTTCTTGTCCAAGTGGAGTGTGTGCGCCTGGGGGCACCAATGACCTGCCCTGAGGTATGCCTGGGGCCTGCAGCCCCCACACTGACCATTCCTCGTGGCCAGGAAGTAGTTGTCGGGGCTGAAGGCCATGGTGCCCACGCCGATCCTGGGGTTCGCCCTGTCGGTGACTGGCTTCAGGGTCTGCAGAGAGACCGGCATGGAAGCGACCTCGTCTGCAGAGTGGAGAGGACTCACTGTCGGTGCCACGCAGAGCCCTTCCGCTGCGGGACAGGCTGACCGAGGCAGTCTGCTTAGCAGTCAGCCAAACGGGGAGCCTGGCATACAGGGGCCTGCCCACCCTCCCCCGAACCTAGAGTCAGAGCCGGGAAGGGTGCCCCCAGTGCCCACAACTGCCTGGCTCTAATGGCTTTCGAGTGCCCAGACTGAGTCACTGGTGCTTGGCTCCTCCTTCCTCCTCTGCACAGTCTGCCTCAGCCTCGCTTTGCTGGTCTGAGAAAGGCCCATCAGACAGGAAGTGCAGGCGCTGGTAAGATCTGACCCTGGTGCCGGGAAGCACGCAGGGGTGCTCCAGAGCCTCTTGCCTGCCCTGGGAGGTGGCCAGGGCCCCAGGAAGGCCAGCTGCTGTTCCAGGTGCGCCCTACCGAGCCCCTTGCCTCCAGTGTGTCCTGGGGCAGGTCTCCTGTTGGGCCCCTCTTGCAAATGGGGAAGCAGACTCCAGCACCTGGGCAAGGCCACACAACCCAGTCTGACCCTGCACCCCTGGTGGCCTCCTGACCCCTCCCCAGCTCTCCTAGAAAATCCTACTCTGCATTGAAGAGCAGCTCCCACAGGTCAGCTAGCAAATCTGTTTCCAGAGCTTACATTCAGCCAACAGAAACAGTGCACCGGGGGTTTATCGGGTCCTTCAAATGCCTCACAGTCTCAAGGTGAGTGAGGGGAGACACCTGCGAGAGGTGACACAGGACGAGAACACTGTGTGCTTAAATAAAGACCATCGGACTGTCCCTGGACAAGGACTCATTTTCCTACACAAAGCCCCTCCCTCTGCTGCTTACATTTGGTCTCTGTGGTGGAGAGAGACCTGGCCGCTGCTCTCGGGGCCGCGAAAGGAAGGGCCCCCAGCCCTAGCTTCGGATTCTTCTCTGCCTCCTTATAGACAATCTGAAAGACAGAGCGCAGCCATGCTTGGCGCCTGGCTGACCACAGTGCCTGCAGAAGCACCTGGCAAACTGCCACCCCACGAGATGGAGCGATGCAGAGCTCCCCCCCATCTTAACTTCCAGGCTGCCACCACTGCTCAGAGAGGGGAACCAGGCCTGGACCCTCACAGGGAAGCTGTACTGTGTCCATCGGGACACACAGGGACTGCAGGTGCCTTCCATGGCTCCTAACTCCAGTTGAACACAACCAGAAGTGGACCGCGCCTCACTTACGATCTTTGGGTTGTTGATGGTCGTAGGATGCGCAAGCTCTGTGATCATCTTCCAGGTCACGTGGTTCAGAATGCGCACCTGGTGAGGGAACAGCGCCAAGGGAGGCTTAGCGCCAGGTGGCCATTGTCCCCTGCCTGTGTGGCCAGTCCTGAGGGGCAGGTATGAACCGGGAGCACAGCTGGGCCCACCTTTCCGTCGTAGCTTCCGACGGCCAGGAACTGGCTGCTGGGGCTCCAGGCCACAGACTTGACGCCCAGGGACCACTCGTACGCACAGTAGCTCGCCAGCAAGCGGCCGTCCAGGGAGTAGAGCAGGATCTTATACTAGATGAGACAGTCCAGTCGTTACTGAAATGTCACAGTGACCTGAGGCAGGCAGGAGGCCACCTGGACAGCCATGCTGTCCTCTTGCACATGCGTACGGGCACTTGGCCAGGGCATTGCCCTCTCGGTAGCAAATCAAAGCCAGCAGGGCTCTGTGAAGAGGAGCAAGGCTGATCAAAGGTCTTCCATGTAGCATGTGGAAGACAGATGGCAGCGTGCCAAAAGCAAGAGAGAAACAAGGCACGGTAACGTGCTGAGAGCATGTGCTTACTGGGTTGTCTCCTACCTCCAGGCAGGTGTCCCACACGGCCAGCACACAGCCGTTGGGCGCCCACTCGATCCCGACGAGGTCCTGGGTGTCAGCCTCAAAGTGCTTGCAAAGAAGAGGAGGGCAGGTTACAACCCGGCCCCTCTCATGCAGACTACGGTACCTATTTCACAGCTGTGGTTTCAACACATCTGGCCTCTTGCTCTCCTACACGGGAAGGGACAATGACACCAACAGAACTGGCCAGCCGGGGCCAGCTGCCCTGAGTCTGCCCTGCTTGCCACCACCCTGGCCGACCAAGCTGTCTTCTTCCCAAGGGCCTAGCTCAGGCCAGATGCCCTCTAGGAAGACCTCTCTAGACACTGGTGGGTGGGGGACCCCTTCTGTGCACCGACAGCTGTCCAGAAGTCTCTCTGAGTGGGTCACTGCCCTCCCTTCAGATTACAAGTCCCTCAGGATGTGGAACTGTGTCCAACACAGAGTGGACCCTTAGTCAAGGTCAGTTCAGTTTTGCCCCTTTGAGCAGGGCACGCATGCATGCAAACGCCAATGTAAACGAACTGGAATGTGGGAACTGTTCAGCTCTGATGCCACCTGAACTTGTAAAGGCACCTGCATACCCCATTTCCACCATGTCCTACAAACACTGGGCCAGCAGCAGGTGTTTGAGCTGAGGCTAGGCGTTGCCCTCTTGCCCTCAGGAAACAGGAAAGCACACTGTCCCAGTGATGCCAAGGTCCCCTGGCATCTTAAAGAGCCCCCCCCCCATTCCCATCCTGGCCTCCTCCCCAGGTAGCAGGAGCCCCTGGCCCTCACCCTCAGGAGCTGCCAGTCGCTGCAAACGAAGACACTGATGTAGTCCTTGCAGTCCCGCCTCTCGGCCAGCGCCATGTAGCGACCATCCCTGGTGAAGGTGATTCCTAGCGGAGAGACGAAGATGTGCTGAACTTGAGCAGCAGCTAATCCCAGGAGTCGCTTTCAAAGAGGAGTGAGGAGGGCAAGCAGGGGCTGAGGCAGCTCAGATGCAGAGCCGAGAGAGGAGCGTTTCCACAGAGAAACCACTGAGGCAGCTGTGGGCTTGCTTTTACAGGACGGGGGGAGCGGGAATGTTCTCGTTCATTACACACTCACATTACACTGTAAGACATCGTTGAATAATATTAATACCAGCTCATCAAATCTCTGAGGAGTCCTAAAATATCACCCCAAATACAAAGTCTTAGGACCCTGCTGCCATCAAGTCGGTTGGGACCCATAGTGATCCACAGGATGGAGCAGAACTGTTCCCTAGGGTCTCCCAGACTGTAAAACCTCTGGCCAAAGAGCCGCATCTTTCTCCCTCCGAGGGGTTACTGGGTTTGAACTGTTGACCTTGCAGTTAGCAGCCCAATGCATACCCCACTCTGCCACCAGATGAAGGATCCCGTTTTCAGAGAAGTGGCAGGAAACCTAGCACTATTTTCAGCTAATGAAAAGCTAGCTGGTGAATAATGTTCCTATTTTGACTTGGGGATTTAATTCTTGGGACGAAATCCATTTGGGACGAGAATTTGGAAGTGCACTGGTTAAAAAGGCAGATCCTGTGTTCTGTTTCTGTATAAGCATAGACTGCACACAGCAGGGTGTGGAGAGCGCCCAACAGCAGAGCCACTGTGCGAGCTGTCGCCCGAGGGCCACTAGTGTCAGACGGTCACAACGCACCCCTACAACTGCCTTTCACCCCAGTACCGTTTTCCAGAGAAAAATGGAAATTTTACTCGTGTTGGGAGATGTGCCCCTCGGATGGTTACATGTGAGACACTTGTTTCAGGATTCAAAATGGGACGGCCAGTTAGCTCCAGATTGCCCCAGGACATCTCGCCGGGCACGCTGTCCCAGGCTCGCCTTCCTTCCGAGGGCTTGAAGACCACAGAGCTCGTCTACGTTCCCCTGGGATGCTCGCAGTGATAGGCTTACGATGCACAATTTGGGTGGGTCCTCTGGACAGACACCAAGAAGAGATGTGCCCGAGGGCTCAAGCAGAAAGAGAATGTTTTGGAAGTGATGATGACAGCTCATGTACCAACGAACCTCATACAGCTGATGTATGGATCGTGAGAAGAGCTTTAAGCGCCCTGGTACCATGATTTAAAAAAGGGACGGAAGCACCCACATCTGCAACCCAAAGTCAGTGGGACTGCCTGCCCACGCCGTTCTCCTTTGATGTCAGGGACAAAATAGCCTCCTCTCTGGTTCTATGATGATGTTTGACTTCGGGGTCCTTGTCACTGGGAGATGCAAAAGTTATTCATAGGTCTGCAAGCTCAACTCACCCATGCAGTATACAGTCTAAGAAATTCGGGGCTGCTAACCCAAAGGCCAGGGGTTCGAAACCCGCCCACCCCCCACCCCCAGCTGCTGCAAGGGAAAATGATAGGGCAGTCTGGTTTCTGTCATCACGAGGTTACAGCCTTGGACACTACGGGACGGTTCTGTGGGACAGTCCTCTTTCTACAGGCAGAATGAACTAGACAGCAACAGGTTTGGCGTTTTGCTTGTTTCTTTTGGGGGGGAAGGATGTACTTAACCTAAGGGGTGACAGAGATCTAGAGGTAAAAAAAGATGGCTGTGAGCTAGGAAGTAAACAAACTGCACAAGCTCCTTTGCGTGTGCCTGAAATTTCGATGATAAAAAGGTTGTGAAAACGATTTTTAACAATCGCTTTATAATAGGTGTGACGTACTCACCCTGCTGACAAGCTTTAGGATACTTGATATAAGACACGGATTTTGTGCACAAGGACCAGACAGTTATCCGAAGCTGTTGGGGAGAAGTGAGGAAAGGAAAAGGGGCCAGTTTAGATTTCACATTTTCAGAAAAACCATCTCAGTGCCTCGGCCCCGTGATAGATTTCCCACTACCTGGAAACAGTGCCCCGGATGCTTTCGCTCCGAGAGGGGTTCCACAGCACGACTGGGTGTTGCATCTTCACTTGAGCACACTGCTGGGTGAGTGACTCACAGTCGGGGTGGGGCTGTTCCACACCAGGGTCGGGGGTTTGAGACCCTCTGCCTCTCCAAGGGAGGGAGATGAGGCTCTCCCCGCCTGTACAGACAGGTAGCCTCAGACACCCAGAGAGCCTGTTCTAAGGGTTGCTGGGTCAGAGCTGACTCCACGGCAGCGAGTTTGCCTGGTTCATTTCCGAGCAAGGGCCGTTTGCATGCCCTCGTGGGCCCGCAGGAAGGTGATGCAGCGCGAGAAGACTGAAGCACTGCGCGGCACGTCCTCTGTGCTCTGTAGCTCCCAGGGGCCCTCAATGCCCGGGGCAGGGAGAGCAACTGCCTGGCCCTGTGGCCGTGCTGGCTGCTCCTACAGGAGGACCTGTGGTGTGACCACCACGCCGCCCTCACCCCACCCCCACCCCCCACACGAAAGCCCTGAAAGAAGGCAACATGGTCACATGGCCCAGAGCTGGTCACAGTGGAGACACAAGCAGGGCACTTCAGGGAGAAGCGCCAGATGGAAACACCCATTATATAGCAGTTGACCTGTACGATACAGACGTGAAGGATAAAATAGGGGTGGTAAATGGAGACTATCAACCACAAGTACTAGGTTTCTTTAGAAAGCCATCGAAATGAGACCAAATGACTAAAGCAAGGAGAGGCACGTGGGGAGCGAGGAGAGGTACGTGGGGAGCGAAACAACCCGAACAGAAACAATGCGACTGCTGACACGTTAGGAAGCACGTAAGCCAAAGCCGGTGCCCATGTGGGCGGTGTAGACGCCGTTCACTCCGGCAGGGCAGGGGTTGCCTTTCCATGGCCTTCTCTCCACGGTCTCGGAATTCCCACTAAATGACTGGGCTGAGACTGGAGCACATCCTGGCCCACCAGGCCTTGAGGACGATGACCCCAATTAGAGCAGCCAGTCCACAGAGAGGACCACATGGCCAGCCCCAC